CAATTATAAATGTATATGGAATTATATAGTTTTATGTTTGTTATGGAACACAATTATGCAAACTTTGCCATAACAAACAAAAATGAATTTTTTATTTGCAATATGTGAAAGTTACTCAAAAAAATTTCTAATTGATGTCAGTAATAAATAAAAAAATTAGAAATTTTAATTATTATTTTCTAGATATTGCTTTAAATAGGGACGTTTTTAAACAAAACGCATAAATATTATTTTTACCATAATTTGTAAGTCCACATTTATTATCCTGCCTCATCAAATAAAACTGTAGACTTCACGCGAAATCACGCGTAACAGACAATTATATCCCACTCTTGCGCGTCAAACCGCGTGATCCTGCCATATAAATACCCAGCAACCAATCCACAACTGAAAAGAACAAAAAAAAAAGAAAACTCTTCCCCTTCCCCTTCCGCATCTTTTCCCTTCCATACTGTCTCCGCAAATGGCCAAAACTCCCAGCGACTCCAAACAGCCGGCAGTTTCATCGGCGGAGATGGACGGAGTCGAGAAGGTATTCAGGAAGTTTGACGCCAATGGCGACGGAAAAATCTCTCTATCGGAGCTTGGCGCGATTCTGAATGCACTTGGCAGTAAGACGTCGCCGGATGAGGTAAATAGAATAATGTTGGAAGTTGATACTGATGGGGATGGTTTTATTGACTTGAAAGAGTTTGCTGCTTTTTACTGTCCGCGAGGAGCGGACGGTGATAATAAGGAGCTTCGGGAGGCTTTCGACTTGTATGATAAGGACAAAAACGGCAAAATCACAGCGGCTGAATTGCATTCTGTTATGAAGAGCCTCGGAGAGAAGTGCTCGCTCAAGGATTGCCGTCGTATGATCAGCAAGGTGGATGTTGACGGCGATGGATGCGTTAACTTTGAGGAGTTTAAGAAGATGATGAGTAGGACGTGACTTTTCGGATCATAACTTATGGAATCAACGGTAGGTTTATTTGCAACCGATTTCGGAACTCTGTAGATACGCTTCTGTTTCTGCCATCGTTTTTGCTGTCAATCCACTCTAACTGTAGTTAGGTATGAAGAAATTCCGAATCAGCAAAAAACTTTATTATTATCCTATTTGATTTGGGATTATGATAATTCAAAAAAGGTAAGAATAATACTTTGCAAAAATAAAAATTAGTCTTAAGACATCTACTATTGAGTCACGCGCAATCCATCTCTGTTACTGCTCATTTTATCTACTACTTTTATTTGCTTTTTTGGTACTTTTGAGTGCTTTTGAAGAAATGCATTTTCAAAGGTGCTGATAGTGCCAAGACCACACGGAATTGTAATCGTGTTAATTGGGCAACGCGCTTGTAGCTTTCATATTGCTAGTGGTAAATATGTACTCCGCCTATGTCAGTTTTTATTTTTTCCTCCGAAACGCCGTTTTTCATTTATTAAAGGCGTTTTGCATTTAATACTACTTCCACCTGTTTTTCCACTTTTCCGTCAATATCTTAATCCATTTCCACGAAAATACTAAGATAGTACTTAATTATTAGGTTGTGGAGTCTGATTAATATATATAGTTATTTAAGAAGTTTAACAGGTGAAATTGCCAGGGGTTATGGAGTGTGGGAGCCCCCATCCGAAGGAGGGTTTGGGGCGCTGCCCCGACCTAAATTTTAGGCTGTAGTATTTTTTCTCTGTAACCAAAAGTATTCTGATTTATCAATATATATGTAATCAAAAGTATTCTGATTTATCAATATATATATTTCATCGCCGTGGAAGTTTACTCACAAATTGTTACCACAAATATTGGTTTCTCTCTCATCTCTTTTGTTTTGAAAGTTTATGTGTGTGAATTTGATCCTAACAACTTAATCTACTTCTATATTTGTGGTTAGTCTACTAGAGTACTTTAATTATTTTCGTATATTTAGTTTGTGTGAAAATGTTCTTTTTTTATTAGAATCCGATTCAATTAAGTTTGCACCACATAAATTGAAGCATAAAAGGTAGAGGGTGGTTTTCTTTTTTCTCTATTGTCCTTTTCCGTTTTGGGGCCAAACTGCATTAAGTGGTGAAGTCGTTACATTATGAATTTGAATTAGCAGGGCAGATGGGTACGGGATGCTAGTTTTTCTAGAACCCAATATTGAGAAATCCTTTAGATTTATAAAATCTTTTGGTTAGTACTTAGGAATCCATTAACAAAGTAAGCTCTTGGTGTAGCCGCATAAAGTTGGAAGTTAAACATTAGCAAGTTTCTCAGCGGCTTGACCTCTGATGTAATCTTTGGGAAGGTAGCAATAAACCAAACTTGTCTTTCTCTTAAAAAGATCATGAATTAGTATAAGTCGATTGTTGTCGTCCTTATTTAAATATACAAAATCTTAAGTGAGGGGAAAGCATAAGAAAACATGAAAAATAGCTTAATTTTGTTGGGTTGAATTTTCAGATATTTCATGTCATGCTTACTGTCTCTAATTTACATTTTGAAGCTTATTTTTATTTGGTTGTTTGATTTTGTACCTGAAGTGGGAGGGAATATTTAGAGACCGAATGATCTTTTTAGTAAAAGGCCTGATCATCTTAGATGGGAATGATGACAATAGATGCATGGGAATTAGTACTTGGCATGATTAATGGAGTTGGCATACCACTAAGTCTCCAAGAAGTGTGATGAGAGTTTAGAGATGGTTGGGATCCTTTCACCCTTAATCAACCAGGTTTGTGTTCAAATTGCTAACTTCTTGGTAGGAAGCTCTTTACTCCATCCGTAAGGCTACCTGAACATGAATCTGGATTAGTCGTGTTAGTGAGTTTCGAATCCCATATGCCTACAACAAAAAATGGAGCTGGAATAATGAAAAAATAATGGGAAACTGTTAGGTGCTTTGTTACTAATGTTGCCTTGTTATATTTATTTATTTTGTGAGCTTGTTGACATGTTCCGTTAGATTTTTGTTTCTTCTCAAAAAGTTATTAACTTACTAAAGGGAAACCAAGAAAAATTAACCCTGTAAAGGGACTAGTAGTGATTGCACACAATTTGTGGGAGCGGGCCCACCTTAGGTGGAGGGTAGTCTGATGCACACCCTTGATCTAATGTTTGATAACTAGGCAAAAAAAAATAAAATCTTAAAACACTTATACGTAATCTAATAAATACTATGGCTATGGGGTAGGTCGGTGTAGGATAGTTAAGAGGTGGGGGTTGGGAGTGTTGTGTAGGTGGGAAGGAGATAATGAAGTTTGAATATCAATTTATATAACTTATTTTACTACATACAATTGGGAAACACATTTCCCCCTTAATTTTTATGGAATTCAATTTCAAGGAAAAATGTTTTCCAAAATCTTTTGACCAACTAGACATGAAAAAACTGAGAACATTTCTAAAAAAGTTTTATTCTCTTGTACTGAACACACCCATAGTTATTCTCCTTTAAACTTTCAAGTTACTTCAGCCTGTCAAGCATTGTTTCGTAAATTGACATCTTCGGTTGAAAGAAGATTAACTTTCAAGCAATATTTTCAGACATATGTAAGAATGACTTGGTCTGTGATATGAATCAGCCATATTTAAATAAAACGATTTAAGTATACGTAAAGTGTTGAATTTCTTGTTCCAATCCCATATGAACCAATAGAGCATAACGTTTATGGAACTTCTATAAGGGGGGAAATTATATCGAGTTAACGACAAGCCAAAGACGTTCATGGAAGAGAATACATCCCCGGGAGGCTGAAGGATTACCATGTCAAAAGCAAGGAGGAGTCTCACCTGCACAAAACTTGCTAGTCCTACACTGGTGTTATTATTAGGAACATTTGCTAGCACAGTCAAAACACCAACAAAAAAGGTACTGTAAACAATCCTGCCAAAGACCACAGCTTGCAGCCATGACGTTTAACACTATTTGGGGATTACAACCTCCAACCAAGACAACAGTATGCATCAAACAAGATGCTGGAAAAACAAACACACAAAATTTCAACCATACACTAGATAATACTTCAAACTTTTATTAGATCTTGCAAGAGCAAGCCACAAATTCTTCACTGCAACACCAAACAATCTGGAGGAATATGTGAGGCCACCTGCGGACCAGGAGAATCTGGAATTTCCTTCTCTGGATTGATGTTTTCATCCTCATCTGCTTGTAGATCAGCTGCTTCAGAAATATAGCCCTTTACTTCTTCAAATCTCTCCTCTGATATGGAAACCTCAGAAAGAAGTTTCCATGCATATTCCTCTGATGCATCATTGTAATCCTTTGTTCGCTTAAGCACTATATGTCCACTAATTTCCCATACAGCAGGGTTCACCTGAGTGTCCAGGAGCTCTTGGTCTACAACTCCTAGTGCTTGCTTCTCTGCATAACACTAAACAATCATCCCAGAAAAAGGATGATGTAAGCTTCTTCACCATCATAAAGAATTGTATGCGCAAGTCACAAAATATTCTATATTCAAGATGAAAATCATGTGCTGGTGAGCACCCCATGCTATTCTACTATAACAGAAACTCAGTTGAAACAAGTGTAAAGTTGAATGTTTCGACCTCCCCCCACTACAAAATTGACAACTGATGCTTAAAGATCAAAACGTGAACTAATTAGTATACACCGCCCTCCCTAGACCTCACTTGCGGAACTACACTGGTATGTTGTTGTTCCCAGACTTTATCTGTTTCCCCTCCCTCTTAAATCTCTTTCAACTGTAGCTGCTGCATTGGCAACACCAACAGCTGCTGCTCAGATGTGTTATCTATTTATTCTCTGCTTTTTACTGCGATGTTTCCCCTTTTAATATGTTGTTATTTTTCATGTTCCTCCTTTTCCCGATTTAAAATCATTTATTTTGTTTCCTAACAATTGAATACATATACGGAAGAATTGATTCACATGGCAATATTTAAACTTAGCTAGTTAAAAGAGAGGCTGAAACATTAGAGTACAATAAAAAAAGATCACTCCGATCTCTTCAACAAAAGGAGACTCAAACCTTAGAGTCTAATGAAAGAGAGAACTCTGATATATGACTTATTGATTTATTCCTCATAAACTCCTTTAAATAAGAGTCTTATTACAACACACTTTAATTCTTATGAAAGAAGGAAATATAAATCCTATTTCAAACTAATAACTATGGATTAACCTAATCCTTATGAAGCTATGAAACATAAACCCTATTCTAGAATAATAAATAAAGTCACTTATATTATAAATAAATAATAAATAAATCTACAAAAGAAAAATTCGTCAAATACTAAATTAATTGACTTTCTCGCATCCACAACAAGCTATGTTATTCAAAGAAGCTATTCTCTTCATTAAGGGTATTTTCGTAATATCTATCTTAGACTATAAAAAGTTGAGAACAACCCATTTAGACTTGGATCATTTTGGATATTGGTTTGACGAGTGAAACTCTAATCAGAGTAGTCTATGACCTTTGTAGCTAAATAATGTTGATGAGGTTTCTTGCTTGTGGAATCTTTCCTCTTGACGGTCATCTTAAAGATAGATTTCGTGTTTGAAGAATCGTTCCTTCGATGTATCTTCATAGATTTGGTGCTTGTTTTGTTTATTAATGGAAGGTTTTAGCTTTCTATAGCTTTAACTTTTAATTAATTCCTCACTTCTACCTTTCTTCTATCTTCATTTCTTGTTCTTACATTTAGGGTTTCTTCCACATATTGATATTGCATCACGTGTGGACATCCTGTATGACTTGTTTTCCTTTTCTCCTTTTGCCTTTGGATTAATTTGTAGTCTTCTCCTGTTGTTTTGACAAATAATTCAATCTACAATTTTTTGGTAGAAAAGATAATTGTATTTATATACTAATAACATTATTAGTAATTCACTACTCAATGTCTCTAGGGTATATATAACTTCATTTACAACCATTTGGATAAAAAATGTAGTCATAAAAGGTTTTTAAAGTTTTCTAGCTTTAGGAGATTAAAGTGGGCTAAGAATATTTTACCTAATCAATCTTTCAATCTGCTCACGTCCAAATCCAATCTGCCCGTTTTCCATCACTATCCCCACCAACTAAAAATGCCCAACCAATTGAGGAACCAACGGGCAATAAAGTTACATCAATCCTACGACAAACCTGTCAAGTATCATTAACAATCTCCAGAGTATAACCCCTTCCAGCATTCATTATAATTTCATCTCCAACTTTTTCCCAACAATATCCTATTTCCAATCCCTGGCCCATAGAAATCCATCAAGTAAAATTCACTTCTTACAAATGTGCACAGCTTTGCAATCAGCAGGTACTAGCTGATTAACTAGAGATTCTCCAGTTGTGTCTTAAAATATATTTATGCATTTCTCGAAAAATCTAACAAGTATTCGTTAAAGCTTCTAAACAGCAGGATATGACAAATTCCATGACTGTACTGATAAACCTAAGAGAAACTTTTGCTAGTGTTGTAGCAACAGTACACAAAGTTGGACAAGCTATTTACCTGGGGAAGCAGAAAAATCTTCTTTCCACACTGAGCAATGAGAATGTTGAAAGGGATGTTTTTATTCTGAAGGGAAATGCAGGAATTCACAACAGCATCAGACAAATCACGGGCAGTACTTCCATTTCCTCCCTCAAAAGCAAAACCTCGTACGGGGTAATTTAATAACTTAGATACAATCACTCCAGCACCACCCAGCCCCTTCCTTGCCAGTATTTTCTGTATTGGTGCTTTCTCAACTGGAAATGGCACTGACAAGTAATACGCCTGTCGTGAATGTCAACAAGAGAACATCATATATATAGTTAAGTCATGCTAATCAAATAATCAGAAATTATTCGCTTGATCCATTACCTGGAAGTGGAGGTGGTTAATGGTAGCAAAAGCGCCCAAACTGTTATAACCTACCCTAAAGAAAGGATCTGCCACTTCTCTGGCAAAATGGAGAGCAATTGCAAAACTATCACGATCAATTCTCTGAGGTAAGCAATCAAGAACTCGAGGTATCAAAAGAACGTGCCCATACTCAATTGGGCTCACCTAAAAAACAAGATCCATAAGCCATGATGCATCTGATAATAACTATAAGAAGAGCACCAGAGTACAATTTCCTTACATTGATAGCAACAATACTAGGTGAAATACCACTGTTTACTCGCATGCCGGAAAAGTAATGGGCCTTGTAGTCGGTACTTGGTTCAAACCTGAAAAGCACTTCTTCCTGGCCCACTTTGGTAAAGTTGAATTTGTTCTCGTCAAAAGGCTGAAGAACCTTATCAATGCAAAACTCTGTTGGGCGCTTCTTTAGGTGGCGCCCCTCATTCAGTTGCGCAATAAAACCACATCTCCCAGGAATGACCTTCGTCTCACAGGTTGTCACATCATATCGAAATAGTCCCTGGCTCATCCGCTCCTCCCATAAGCCCAACAACAAATCGTTCAAGAATGACATCTGACACTCCTCCTCAGGCAAGGTTTGAACATCATTTTCAATTGGCTCATTATCATCATTCTTGAATGCATATAGAGGAAGTACTGAAACTGAAATCAAGCAACAAAATAATGAATCTACAACCCAAACCTCATTCTTAACACATCTGACTTACCAAGATGTATCCACTACGAAACAGAAGCCACATAGATCTATAATAAACAAAATCATTAAAGGCACGCGACCCACTTTTGGCTTCACCGGAAAATACATGCAGTTTGCTTATTTCTGCATTAAGGTGCATGCAAAGTGGATATTTTGCCGCATATTATCAACGAACCTAAGATACTCCACTAGATTATATCAACTCTAAGCAACATTAACACTACAAATAGTAAACTACAGGTTTACCATTTTCAGTGAGTGTAAATTCATCTATAGTTATATAGATGTTCATGCTATTATAGGTGTATCTAGCATTGCACATACGGGTTCAATTGAACCCATAACTTTCGATGTGGAACATAATTTATTGTCAGAAATTTACTAAAATAGCAGATATGAACCCATACACATTAAAATACCAAAGATTAACCCTAAAAATCTTAAAATGGAACCCATGATCTTTAAGAGGCAATAGCACTGGCAAAAGCTGAATCTACATAATAATTACAACTGTAATTCTTTCCTTGCATTGTTTGCTCAACTCTAAAATAATCTGTGAACAATTGTTACTCCTAATAATCAATCACCAGACATATAGAAACAGGGGCAAAAAGCATTCAGAAAATTATACATTCCGAAAGATAAAGATTTAAAGAATCGAACACAAACCAGGCATGCAGCATTTTCCGAGGCACTTGCGGCCACAACCCATGACGTTACCTTCGAGAACATCCTCTTGATAGTTGGAAACCAGTGTAGGCACCCTCTTTACAGTCAACATCGGTCCTGTTCTTGGATGGATAATCAAAAATACAACTCTTATACGAAAAATTAGGAGAAGGAAAAAGAGAAAGGAAGAATTGGACCGCCGCCGGCGAGGAAGAGGAGATCGGAGGGGCAACCGCCTTCAGCGGGTGAGGCACCCCTACCTCCGTGAGGGGAAGGGGTCCGGTGCTTATCGTCCACCAGAAGAGTTGGATTAAGGGTCAACACTTTGCGGTGATGATGAATTGTGAGAATACAAACGAAAGATTCAAGAAGAGCCGTGATTGAATTTGTAGGATCAACGAACAATTACTGAGGAGCGATCCTTCATCGATAATTTTGAGGAAGATGTTCTTTTCTAGAAGAATTGAATGGGTGGTTGTTGGGTGGCGTTTGGTGCTCCGGTGGTCTCTCTCTTGCACACGTATTTTGGTCAATGAGTTCGTCTCATTGGTAGACTCCCCAACTTTATATAAGAACCCCCTTACACCTTGTTTGGATTACTTTTTTTATTTTTTTTGTTGGGTCAAGGAATATATTATAATTTATTATATTTATTATTATATAAACTCTAGTTATTATGGATCCATTTGGCCATCAATTTTCCAAATAAAGTTTTGAGGAAAATTTGGTTAGTAATGTTTGTCCATATAATTTAATATTAAAAAATTAATACTTTGGGTTAAATTTCAATATTTAAATTTTTTTAAAAATTTATAGTAAATTTTTATCTTTTATAAAACACTTATTATAGTATTTGTTTGTGTTGTATTGTACAATTTTTTAGGTGAACATCAAAGGAAATACTGAATAAATATGAAAGTGTTGATATGGTTGTTGATGAAAATGAAAACAATTGATTTAGGGTAATAAAGTCATGTGTTTTGTCTACTTCACGGTGTATAGAATGATACTTGTTGCACTCACTTTAAACTATCACATTGCTCCAATGTCATGAACATTACTTGCTATTTGATGCAATGAAGATCCAGTTGACTTGTTGCGGAAGTCATGAATCTTTTTACGTCGACGTTTCTATCTTGCAATCTAATACAAATCTATGATAAATTTTAAAACTTATGGATATAAATTATATTTATTAAAAAGTGAAATACATTTTTCAAATATTTATGACCAAAGACATGATCAATTTTCACCCAATAATATATGCCAAAAATATTTGAAAATCTATAGTCAAACGCTAGCTATATATAGCAAAATAAACTATAAAAAGGGAGCAAGTACAAATACATTTTCTACCTTAGAAATTGCTTATATATAGCTCACTTTCTACATGACATGCGAAAACGAATCAAAATTTTAAAATTATATCAATAACAAAATATGAGTGCACAAATTTAACACGAATAATTCTATCTATTTTATAGCATGACTTTTTTCTTTATGTTTGCATGTCAAACAAGTTGAACTCTATTAGATGCTTCATGATCTTGTTTTGGGTTTTCCTATACAAAATTAGAATTTGAGTGATCTTTAAATTAATAGCATTAGATTATTATTTTTCATTTGTTGATTGATATTAATGTATCTGGACCTGCAGTGAGTGCTCTCGATGCTTATATAATTGGGCAAAGTGAATGAATCATGAATAATTAATTTATCTATGGATATACCATGTGCTTTACACCCTCTATCACTCTGTATCACACACATGTATCAAACTGAATAATATTTCATGTGTTGATTGTTTAATTTGTAAAAATATAGACCGTATCTATAACTAACTATAATAAATGTATAATTAGTAAAAACATAAGTAAAACTACAAATAGAAAGTTGATATATATTTAAATTTTAATCCCATAGATCTAAGAAAGAAAACAAAATATTTTAGTTATTATGTTTTACTATGTTTAGCCTACTTTATATTTTACTATGTTTAGCCTACTTTATAATGCGGTTTGAAATTAAATTAATTTCTACCTACATTATCTTATATGTATCTTCCAAACTTAGTAAATAGGAAATGATCACAGATTACATAATAATATATACTAATTATTAGTAATATCTCTCTAGCATTTTGAGCATATGAGTTTTTATTTAATATTAGAGAAAAATTCTTAATATTATTTCACTTCAAATTACTTACTTAGACCAAAATGAATTTAAATAAATATAAAAATATATGAATAGTAATATCATTTTTTTATAAATAAAAGATGTATGTATGCAAATTACGTTTTGGGCCATGGGCCTTGTTAGCCCACTCAATTTAGGAAGTATTTTCTCCTTCTATGCAAAGTGGAGATAGTGAACCCTCTATAGCTTAAAAATGAAATTAACAAAACAAATATAAATTAGGAATACTTCTCCCCATCTTTTACCCTAACAAAATTAGTATTTGTGCTGCCTATAGTTCATTGGTTCAATATATTTCAAAATTTAGATTATAGGTTATGTGTTTTATAAATCTAATTCAATTTTTCAGGGGCGGATCTAAGCAGGCGTACACCCAACCCCAACCCTGAATCGTCAAAACTATGTTAGACAATAGTATCACAATGTGAATCAAAACTGAGTAGTTCATTTGGTAACAGAAATTTTTAATCAAAAAACAGACCAGAATACAACATGAATAAAGGATAGTGACTGTACATGATTTGATGGATAGTAGTAGTTAGCTACACACCCTTGGAACCAGGAATGTCAATCCACTGCAATTGTAGTTCTATTTCACCACGCTCAACATTTCGCAATCTAATAAACACATTTTGTACAACCTGATCATTTTCCCACACAATGGAGCTCTCTTCAGAGAAACAATTTTGCCTGCTTGGCTTTATTTTTGTGATTATGGTTCCACTAGGGATGTTCTTGTACCGCTTTCTCGCCGCATCTATAAATGGCTGTATGTCAACTTCTGCATCACCCATCTTATCGTCAAGAGAAAATATATCCTTGTCATAAACATGCTGCAATCAGGAATCGATGCGAGTTGTGCATATTCAATTAGTTTCCAAAGACAAATACATGATTTGGACCAAAGCTAACACAAGCCGGATAATAAGGTTATGTGCTGTTTAATTCCTTGATGAAATAAAGTGAAAGAAATTACCAGTTTGATTGGGAGAATTGGCTCGGTAATAGATAGTGTTAATTCTTCATTCCA